TCACCATTCTTAGCTCTTCGGTTCCTTTTGGGTTCATAACAGAATGTTGCGATCAGGCTCAAGTTGCTTTATAAGGTTACTCAGTGTGCTGACTTTCTTCCATGAAGGAAATTCACTCCAAATGTAAGGGGCTAAATTAAGTAGGCTTGAGAAGTAGGAGCAGCCCTACTTTCCCTTTCATGTTCGCATTCCTCCTTTTTTGAAAATTGAAGTCTTGAGATATATCAGTTCTTTCAGGTAGCAAGGGACCCCTCAATTTATATAATAATAGTTAATTTTTTTGAGAATCTTTCCTTTTAAATCAATATCTCTCCTACCATTCTAAATACGAAGAACTTAAAAATATGTGGATTATTAGTTTTCAATAAAACAGACTTACCCTTAAAGTTATAATCAACATAATTTTACCATAATTCTTTTGATGAGTTACAAGTCATGTTAGTATCCTGCAATGCCTTGTTAACATTGTGAACATAACTAAGGATTTTTTTAAAAATTACAAATTCAGTAGAGTTTCACATTGCAGATCATCAGCTTTGTATTCATAAAAAGTCTAAACCACTCGTAATTGTCCCCAATAGTTTACCCCTCATCCACTCCATAATTTGTCTTCTTCCTTTTGTGGACTACTATCTTCCATTTCACCCAAGTTAACACCTATTTGCAGCTAGCCCATTCCTTTCTCTTCCCTCCATCCATCTTGGCAAACTTCAGAATCTGTTTCCTTTGATATAAAATTTTCTAACTGTGGTCTCATAATATTTGACCTTTTGTGATTGGCTGAATTCATTCAGCATAACGTTCTCCAGGTCCATCCATGCTGTGGGTTGCTTTGTGATTTCCTCATTGGGTTTTTGGCAATGCATAGTGTTCCACTGTGTGCGTGTACCAAAGGTTCTTTAGCCATTCTTGTACTGTGAGAATTTAGGTTTTTCCATCTTCTTGCTATTGTAAATCGTGCTGTTATGGACATGGGGGTGTGTATGTCTGTTCATGTTGGGACTCTTACTTCTTGAGGCTATATACCCAGCAGAGGGATTGCTGGACCAAATTCCATTCTCAGTTGTTTGAGGTAGCAATATGTCTTATGATTGGACATAATTACATTCTCACCAGAAGTGTATGACCGTTCCAGTCTCTCTGCAGCTTCTCCAACTAAACATCATATGATTTTTGACTAGCTGTAATAAATATAGAGAATTAGCCTAAATTTATTACCCTGAGTTACTTTAGAAAATATTTCCCTGATGAAAAATTTGTGTGTGTGTGTGTGTATATGAGAGAGAGAGAGAGAGAGAGAGAGAAACAGAAAGACAGACTGACAAACAGAGTATGCCCTCTGCTTCCTACCCCAAAGTATAATTTAATTGACTGGCTGCTGGAATTATGTATAAGCAAGATTTTATTCTTTCAAGGGCATTTTCACATATTTGTCATTTAGAAACAGTTTACTAATCTTACTTGAAATAATGGCTTCTAATGTTCATCGTAATTCTCATGCATTGGACTGCTATTTATTGGTATTTTGCCTTGTTCCAAGGAGTTCTGGTGGTGCTATGGGCTAGGCATGGGACTTTTAATTGCACGGGCACCCGTTCAAATCCACCAGCTACTTGAGAAACTGTCTGTCTCCATGAAGATTTATTTATAATCTCTGAAACCCTGTGTAGGGTCACTATGAGTCAGAATCTACTTGATGGCTTTGGGTTTGGTTTGCCATGTTCCACATAGTATGCTATGTGCTGGAGAAAATGAATGACCTAATCTCTCTTTTCAAGGAACTTGTAAACTATACCCAAGAGAAGACAGATAGGTAAATAAGGATCTATTATTGCTGTAGTTGTTATGGCAAAGTATAATTGGGTCACAAAGTAGGAAGTAAGTGATTGTACTGGAGGAATTTGGATGGAAGAAATAGAAAAAGCATTATACCAAATGAAATCCACTGCCATCGAGTGAAGTCTGACTCACAGAAACTATAGGACAGAGGGGAGAGCTGTTTTAAAGGGTTTTGCCGCTGTAAATCTTCACAGAAGCTGATTGCCACATCTGTCTTCTGTGGGGCAGCTGATGGGTTGGAACTGCCCACCTTTTGTTAGCAGCCAATGTTTCACCCACCACTGCACCAGCAGGTCTCTACAGGCAGGTTTTGTTTCGTGCTGTCGTGTTAGATCCAGCTCAT